TGTGGGTGCTGCTGAGAGTGTTCTCTCTGGTCCTCTTCTCTTCTCTCTTGGTAATGTCATTCACATCCTGTCTCCTAATTTCTCTTCTCAGTATTTGCCCAATGTGATCTGCCATCTACCAGACCAGTCTGCCTACAGATCCAGCCCATCATGGCCTAAACCTGCCCCTTGACTTTTTATTCCCTCCCTCATTCAGTCAGCATTTATTGGCTGTCCACTATGCCCTAGGCAGTCTGCAAGAGACTAGGATGCAAGACAAATGAAAGAGAGCCTTTTTCCTCAAGCAGCTTTTAGCTACCTTTCTCCCCTCATTTTTCTAGTTATCAAATTCAAATGTTAGAGCCAGCACTGAGTCCTTCTGTTTTTCATTCCTCCTACCAATCAAGCAGTTGCTATATTCTGCTTATGACTTTGAGCTCAGAAACATCTTTCAATTTCATGACCTCTTTTTTTATGCCCACTGTCAACACCCTCTCTGAGCCTTTATTATTTCCTGGCTTATCCTACGAGAGCTTCCAAAGTGATGTCTTCTTCAATATATTCTCACCCACAACTCCATCTCACACACAGAGATAAAGTAAGTCACCTGAAAACAGAGTTTAGGTCAGAGTGGTCTGCTATGCAAAATACACCCAACAGCTTCTCATCAAATACTGAATAATTTCCTCAAGTTGGTATTTAAGGTCCCCATTCGCATGTATTGGGTTGAACTGAATGGATTCTTACTTTGTAGTTCAGAAAGGGTAGAATACTAGCCATTTTATATGGTATGACTGAATACTATTTCCATCCTTACCTTATAAGAACCCCCTTCTTCTGCCCTGCACTCTAGAATATAAACGAGATCAGTCTACACTTTCCACGCATGTTCACTTTCTTTGGTCTCTTTGCTAATGTTTGTTCTTCCTGGAGCTCGTGCATGCATTCTCTCTCCCTTGAATCCGTCTTTTCATCCCTAACCTCCACCTCAAAAGACCCATCCTCCGTGAAATATTTCCTGTTGAGTCTCTTCTCAATTGTTAGTACTCCTGGCCTGCAATGAAGTCCCTTAAGAAATTATTCATGTGTCTCTTATGGTACCAATGAGCCTTGAGGCTACTTCTTTGTTTTGTTCTGCTGCAACCAACTGAGCTCCAAGTGTCCTGTTCTATATAAGCCTTTGCAAGTAGAGCATCTTAATACCTATCTGTGTAATTGTTAGTGCTCTCAGTTATTTTTGTGGCTTAGTTAGCCATACTTAAGGTTGAATGTGGTATCTGCCTACTATACAGTACGCACACTGCATACTGTTCCCTGCTCGTTTATTGCTTTTCGGTCATTTGGAACTTCTGCTATTATTTCTTTTTTTTTTTTTTAAAGATTTTATTTATTTATTTGACAGAGAGAGACACTGCGAGAGAGGGAACACAAGCAGGGGGAGTGGGAGAGGGAGAAGCAGGCTCCCCGCAGAGCAGGGAGCCCCATGCGGGACTCGATCCCAGGACCCTGGGATCATGACCTGAGCCGAAGGCAGACGCTTAACCGACTGAGTCACCCAGGCGCCCTATTATTTCAATTTAAAAAAAAATTGCAAAATAGGGGCACCTGGGTGGCTCAGTCGTTGAGCGTCTGCCTTCGGCTCAGGTCATGATCCCAGGGTCCTGGGATCGAGTCCCACATTGGGCTCCTTGCTCGGCGGGGAGCCTGCTTCTACCTCTGCCGCTCCCTGCCTCTCTGCCTACTTGTGATTCCTCTCTCTCTCTCTCTGTGTCAAATAAATAAATAAAATCTTTAAAAAAAAATTTGCAAAATATGGCATCAAGTTATGCTATTTAGTACTCAAATTCTCTGGCTAATATGCTTATATAGATTACGCTATTTAGTAATACGCCTTCATCATGATGACACAGGAGTGCTTTATGAATTAATTTGTTTTAAAACTTCCTAATTTATCTCTGATATTCCTCCTTAACTTAAAAAAGAATAAAGTTTTTCAGTTTAAATATAAAATACATATTAAAAATATAATATATAGCAGAGTTTGAATATTATGTTACATATTCTAAGATATATTTACTCCTAACTTAAGTATATAAAAACAAATATCTGCAGGCATACTGTTTTAACCTTATTTCAGTATATATCATGTGCATAAATAAAATATTAAAGCAATGGCTATGAGCCAAAAAAATCTACTAGAAAAAAAATGTAGTATGTTGTGGTTAATATTGAAGGACTTTGGGCCAGACTTGTGTTGATTGCCCAGCTGGAGTCTCCATTCATTCATCTATAAAATGGAGACCATACCCATCTCCCAGGATTGTAGAGAGAGTAAAAACAAGATAACATAAGTTAAGGGCTTAGGATATCATCCAGCATATAGTTAATAACAAAAAATTATAGTTGTATTAATACAAATAAATGGCAACAAGAAAAAATAGCATTCTCTAAAACTATTATGACTCTAGAAGTTTCCTTGTACGTTATGAAATGATGTCATACTAGTCCATAATGAGCAACAAAGCATTTAAGAAGACTATGACATCATTTCTAGTATTACAGAGGGAGAGAGAGGGGGAGAGAGAGAGAGAGGCCTCCTCCCCTCTGCTGCAGCAAAATCTTGGCTGAAGACATGAAGAGCAATAAACAATGTCCAGCTTGAGAGTAGTATTTAGGAAGCATCCACAAAGCAAAACTCATGCTGCAGTTTGGCTTCTTTCCCTTCCTGATAAAAGTGAAAAGGGACACTTCAAAAATTCTCTCCATCTTAACCTAAAACTGGAAAAATCCTTTTCTATATAGCTGGAGAAATTTTCACACATGGTTTTCCTGATTTTCTACCTGGTATTATCTAATTAATTATTATTAAAGACATATAGTGAATATTTGGGGTACTGGAAAAAAAAAAAGTACCAAATATCTGTTTTATAGTGTGCAATCTCATGAAAAACAAGAACAAAAAAGTAATGGGGGAAAATGCTGATGAATCATTTACCCATCAAATAATTAAATAAATATTTGTTGGACTCCTACTGTGGTCCAGGCACTGTTTTATGTGTTGAAGATATGAGTGAAATAATTAACCATTGTCAAAACAAGTTTGATTAGCAAAACCGTGATATAGATCCCTGACTCACTCACAGTCCAAAAGTCAAATTCAATTCTGAATTGATGCCATAACGGTCTATTTCAATAAACTCTGGTTTATTACACAAAATCTGTCAACACACCCCTAGATAAATTTAAAATGGTCCTAGAAAATTTAGCCACCAAGAGACTTTTGGTGAGGTCATATGCCACTTCTCCAATACCCAGATAAACCTCAACAGAGCTGATTAGTTCCTATTAACAATATACTGAATACATTTTTTTAGTGGTTAGATAATAACATCATCCTTTTCCAATTCACATAAATATCCCATCGTTCAAAATTAATATAATGAGTTGCTAAACGAGCCTGGGGATTAGAAAACAGATTCTCACATAAAATATATACTGTGTGGATTTTATTAGATGGGAAAATGCCAAATAGATTTTTTTTTCCACCAGATATGAAACATATTCGCCTACTCTGAGTGGAACCTGAAAGGAGAGGATAGTCCCAAGGGTTTTTACAATATCCAGGAGGAAAGTAAGTCCTCTCTGGGGATTTCATACCTGATTCCACTGAGTAATTTCTAAGGAAAAAAATGCAGTATATTTCATGTATCTCTGAGACTAGTCTATTCGATTTTGCTCAATATCTGAAATAAATGCAGTTTCTTTTTTTAGAGCACACGGATTTATTTTAATGAATTCATTCTCTTGTGCAAAAATATGATGCGATACTGCCTACACTCTGGAAGGGTGGTGACATCTGCCCCTTCCCTCTCTCCCACAAAACCTACCCACAAAGGCAAGGCTCTTAGCAAGTGCTTGTGGAATGAATAAATTAAGGTTCTCATAATTACACACTGCAGGGGAAATTAAACAAGGACAATGCATTCGTCTCCTTCAACTGCTACAAATATTCACACTCACAGGTGCACACTCACAGACTTCTTGTATTTCAGGATCAGTCATCGAACTTTAACTATTTTTAAAGTACATAAAAAAAACTAACCTCCCTGCATAACATATTTTGGGCTGATAAGCTTGAGAGGAAATGCTATGTGAAGCCAAAGAAAGATTTAAACGATGTTATTGATCTTCTCAGCAGGGCAGAAAATGTCTTCCATTTTTTGAAGGCAAATTACAAATGTAGCTTTTGTTGACATGAAGTCAAAGATAACTTTAAAGAATTAAACAAAAGGTAATGCCCATAACTGCCATCTCTAATCAGTATACATCCTGATGCTGAATTTGAAAATGAATATTTTTCATGTAAGGCAGAAGGCCCAGGATCAATGGATTCAACTGCTTCCATGGCAAGATGAAGGATTACTTTCTTATGCCGATAAAGCATATACAAAATCAGTTCATTTAATAACGAACAACCTCAGCCTTTAAATATGGTGCTAAAGACTAGAGCATCAGTGAAGAAGTTACAATATTTTATTCACAAAACCCAACAATACTGAGTCATTCTTAGGCTCTCATCTCTAGCGCTCCTTCTACCTGGGAAGGGCAAGCCATTTCATTTACCCATTTAAAAACATCACTTATTAGCAAGATTCCCTCAGATAAAATCATTACTTTAGTATATTCCTGTTAAATTTAAATGACTGAATTTTCATTAAGATAGAGAATTTTTGATATTTTTTTTAGCTGCTACAATAATAAAAATCCGAAAATAAGCCAGACATATTGATATTTGTTAACAACTTGCAACCCAGGCAAAAGACATAATTCCTTAGACATCTTATAACCAAAACAGCCTTGGATAATGGCATTCTCTGCTTGGGAAATCATACATGTATAGACAATGATCAACGTAGGCTTACAGATAAAAGACCAACCATAGAGAGATTAATTTAAATAAAAACATTCCAAATCCCCCCTGATTTCCCCTCATTTAAACATCCACACAAAACATGCGGTACCTTTTAATTTTCTGAATGAGCAGTTCCCAATCAATGTTTCTTCGGTTAGAGACAACAAGCTGAAGAATCTACCGAAACAAAGCAAAAGAAAAAAAATACATATACAGATTTGTTAACTATATATTGAAAATCATAACTCACCAGTAAGCAAATGCATTCTTTATAATCCAGATAATAAATCTATGTCTTGAGATCTGTAATACAAATAATGCAATACTCGAATTTTTGGGAAGCTCGGTAATGAACTTTAAAGCATTTTACTTTGAGACCACATAAAGCAAATCCTTTGAAAAATGGATTGAAAATAAAATGAAATAAAAATTTAAAAAACCCCGAAGCATTACCAGTGCATATGCAGTGATACCACCCAAGTCTAGCCTTTGAGGATTGCTGCAGAATCCTTCCCCCGGAGCGTTATCTCTACGGGCTGGCTCTAGCTCTCTAGCTCCAGACAGACGCAGTCTGCAAGCCACCAGCTCCTCTCTGTGTGTGTCGGGGAAAGGGAAGCTGCAAATTAGAAAAAGTCCCCGCAGTGGCGAAAAGGAAAATAAGGCGAGTGGGAGAGGGAGAGAGAGCTCACTAGCCTCAGAATTTTCGAGAATGATGACAAGCCACCCAGCTCCGCCATCATTCACTGACAATAAGATGCAGCCCTGGCTTATGATTTAGCGGTTTACCATAGGGGCTTCTGGTATCAAATGCCTGACAGGCATTTTAATTGCCTCCATCCAAGTGTGTCCCCAGGAGTCGAGTCTATAAGCCTATGAATGTCATCATCTGGTCTCCTTTGTGTTAATGCCAGACACACACGAACACACACACACACGCACACACACACACACACACTGTGCTTAAATAGAGAGTTTCCCAGCATAATATATAGGATTACAAATAAATCTGGCTACACAAACTGGACATGATAAATGGTAGTTTATGGGAATATTTATTATCTACATTAATGACATCAGAGATTGTCTGATGCTCTGTCACTGGCTGCTCATTACGATATTTTAAAAACTGAATATCCAAAATTGTTTATTTATTGTTTATTTATATTCCACAATAAATATCTGTGCCCAATAGAAAAATGCACATATTTATTTGTATTTTCTTAGGGAAAATTCAATCCCCTTGTAACTGTGATAATTACACATTTGGCAATGTTTTCCTTACAAGGGAGAATGCAGCAAAAAACAAAGAGGATTAGGAAACCAGGGTTGATGTGTGATTTCTGTGGGCAATCTATTTTATTCCGTTTACAGACAGAAGCGAAAGGAGGTGGCAATGAGCTTGGGTACTGGGACCTTACAGTCCCTGAGGGCCAAGGCAGAGAATTGAATCTCTGGCATAATCAGTACCCCCCTTTATGTTAGCAACTGAAATTAACAGCTGAATATCCCTGTTTCACAGTGCCCCTTATGTAGGGAGGTTAAATGTGGAATAATTCCCTGCATTTATTGCCCGGACAGAAGGGCTGGGAAAAACGTTAATAAATAAATTAATTTTTACAGCATTGTTAGCTTCCTGCATCAGTGAATGGAGCAAAATTCAATGTATACCAAAAGGGCCGGCTGTGAAGAAGGTTGCTGGGAGGGAGCATCACCATGGTTACCGGAAACAGAAAGTACTGAGAAAAATAAGGTAATGATAGAGAAAAGGGAAGGAGACTCCAGGGGAGGAAATTTAGAGTGATATGCTTCATTCTTTGCTTTCTGGAAAGAACTGTGTCTATCAGTTTTACACTCTATTTTGAGCGCATTAAGATGAATTTACATTCTCCATTAGCCACCTTTCTTCTCCACTTTTTGATCATGAGCTAATTCTGCTTTCATAAATATTCAAATTATGGTTCTTTTGTATGAGATGGTTCCTACTTCTCCTTGCCTCTGTCCATATCCCGGATTCAGGAACACCACTCAGCCTAGTCCACACCCTTTGTTTCATAGGTGAGAAAGCTGAGGCCCAGGGAATCTGGCCAAGGTCACAAAGCAGGCTGGTGATCCAGCAGACACACCATCCCCATTCTCTGACTTAGGTGCCCTGCTTTTCTTCTTTCACCAAGTGATTTTCTTTCTGCGCTCCCTCCCGTTCCGTGTGCAAGAAAAAATGATTCCAAAATCATCCTTTGTCTTTGATTTTGTGAGCTTTCCTTTATTTGCTAAAGCAGTGATCTTCGTCTTTAAAATATGTTCCATAATTCTGAGACTAGCCTTGCTTAATATCTGTGTTGTGCTGTATCGGAGGTCTGAAGAATCTGGGGTAATTATGTCACTGCTTTTCTTTCATTTCCAGCCCGGCAATCAGACGAATTGAGCATGATGGCCCTTTTGTGATCCTATCTTGCCGAGCCTGAACTTAATCATCATATACTAGGCACTCTATCATCCCTGGCATCGTTCTTTCTGCAAGCATGAAATCAGGCAATCAAACTGAGCTGTCCTCCCAAGGTTCCTCCTAGTTAATAGACAGTGTGAAGTTTCATGAGGTTACCCAAAATAATGAAACTGGAAAACTGGGAGCCCAGGTTAAAAAAAAAAAAAAAAAAATTAAGAGAGCATTCACTCAAAAACAACCACTGGGAGGCGCAATATTTGTTAAAATCTTTCTGAGTCAGCAAAAATTGTGATTAGGATTTTGACCTTGATGCGCTGTGTTTATTTCCTTCGTAAAATGTTCTTTCAATATTCAGCTGTTATGACTCATTGCTTTTAGGTTAACTCATCCAGAGGTAGGATCAGACTGAGTTTTCTGATGTCTAAAATAAAGTTGCGGCCACCACTACTGTTCTCTGCCCCCAGTACGTCATCTATCAAATAAAGAAATCACGTTTAAAAAAGTGATTACCCTAGTAAAATTACAAGAGATTTCAGATTTCAGTTAATCTTACATACTGGTTAGGATTCTTCTCTTCCAAAAAGCATTCCTTAAACATGATCTCTCTGTTAAATGCCTATTTTTCTTCAGTGATTTGGACACTAAAGTTATTTTTCAAAACAAATGTTCTAATATGTTATATAAATTATTAATAATATGGCGTTCATTTCTGAACACAAAAAATAAGGCACAAATGATGTCATTTCTTGAAACATAAATCATATTTTGTCAGAATCTCCTAAAGCACACATAAAGGTCCTGGTCAGTCTAAAAAAATAGTGCAGCTTCAGAAATATTTAATACTTTTCCAGGAGTCATTATTTGAGAAGACCTGCTTCGTCGCTGAGAAGGAGTTGGTAAATTCTTTTTCCTTTTTCTTTTTTTCTTTTCATTTGTTAGTGGAAGGAACTGCTACTTTAACATGTCCATTGTATAGTAAGCACTATATAATTCTTCCCTTTAATTACATTCTAAGAATACAAAATGGCAGATAATTGAGAGCCTTTCATGATTTTTTGTGTTTTTTTATATTTATGCTTATGAGCATACTTTCCTTATCCTTTCTCTCTTTGACAATATTCTTTGTACTGCTTTCCTTATCCTTTCTCTCTTTGACAATATTCTAGACCTTGGCTTAGTACCATTCATCAGTTCATCTAGCCAGTTTTGATGACATACATACATATATTTCAAACACTTGATAAGTTCTAGGTATGGGGGAAAACCATTTCCTTCTATAGGACCTTCAATTACAATGGAGGGGTCATAAAAATAAAGAAGAATCTAAGCTGACACTTTCTCTCACTTTGATGACACACTATGTCTCTGCCCTGTGTTACAATCTGCTGCGTCTCAGATCCTGATCTTTAAGAATCTGATTTAACTATATCCCCAAATTCAGTTAGCTCAGCCCTGTGGCTCTTCTGGAAGACCCTTAGTTTTACTCTCTAAATATCCTGGTCTATGTATTTGTGTGTCACTCTTGAAGTTTTTTAGGAATGAATAATGGAGGTATTTCTTCCTTACCTCCTTGAAGTCTTTGGTCATAGAATCATCTTCCCAGCCCAGGCTTTCCTGACTACCATAATGAAACCTGCAACGATGTCCCTCCCACCACCCTTCATCCCTTCTCCTTCTTTCCCTTTCCACAGCACTCACCACCTTCCATCACACCATAGACTTGTATTTATTATGTTTACTATTTATTACCTGCCTCCCTCTGCTAGGTCCGTGAGGGAAATCATCTTGACGTGTTTGGGATGCTGGTGTATCCAAAGCACCCAAAACAGTGGCTGGGAACATAGCATTCAAAGTATTTTTTTAAATGACTAAATGTGAAAATCACATTAATGGATGAATTGAAGCATTTAAACACAAGACAAGTCTTTGTGTTTCATATTGATTTCCTTGCTCTATATATTCAGTCTTCCTTATGAATATTGTATTTTATTTGTATTATAAATCACATTTTCCCATGGAATCAATATTTTTTGTTATTTCCATTAAAGGATATACATTTATTTAAAATAGGGACTTGTCAAAAAAATAAAATAAAATAAAATAGGGACTTGTCTCCTGCTTTCTTTGAATTCTGCAAAGTACCTAGCATAGGACTATCAGTTCTTAAATGCTGAGAAAGAGCTTATTTGATAAACAATGCTTGTATTGGTGTTAAACATGCTAACATTTAATCTTTAGATTATTTAAATAAAATGAGAATAGTTAATAAATCAATATTACCTTGCGGTCAAAATGCTTAGAAGCAGCTTTTTATTTAATTTAAAAAAAGTTTAAGATTTTATTTTTAGGTAATCTCTACACCTACCGTGGGGCTCGAACCCACAACCCCAAGATCAAGATTCACATGCTCTACCGACTAAGCCAGTCAAGGCACCTCTGAAGTGGCTTTTTATAAACTGACTATATTTACTATACTTTGTGCTTAAAAAATTAATAATAGAAATAATAATTACAGTTTTACATTATACTCTTAAACTTGTCATTTTAAATATAAGCAGTTATCTGGGTATTTTACAAATTATTATGACATTCAAATTCACTGCACACTGTTTTGCCTTATTTACCACAGATGGCATCTTTTCTTCCAACAAATTTTGTCCCCTCAAAAGCATACTGTGGTCAGACTCTATGGCCCAGCACCCTCCCCGCTATAAGACCTACTGAGTCAGAATTT